GTAGGGGTCAGGGAATGAGAGAAGAGAACTAAGGAGAACCGGATGGGCCATGATCTATGCTTGGTGTCACTGAAGTTCACCATATGTCACAAGTACCATCCCATGGCAGATCTAAGCTTTCATGGATGTCCCCATGGCAGCAACTGGCTGGGAGTAGAGAGGAAGATGTTTATTGACCTATGATATTCCACCTTTGGGTAAGCTCACCACGAGTGAGTAAAAGAAACACCCTCTCTTTCCTTCTTCCCTTCAGAAAAACACATTTCTTTGCTTGGAGGAAGAAGAGGACCTTTTTGTTGGAAGTGGGGTCAGGCCCATGGAACTTTGCATCAGAGTTCAGTGTTCCTAGGGTGGCCATTGTGCCTTAGGACAGAAGTTGTAGAGCTTTCTGTATTTTATATATTTCTCTCTCTCTCTCTCTCTCTCTCTCTCTTTTTGAGATTTTAAGTAGTCTCTATACCCAACATGAGGCTCAAACTTAACAACCCTGAAATCAAGAGTCACATGCTCTACCAACTGAGCCAGCCAGGTGCCCCAGGTATTTCAAATATTTCTAAACTTTTATTTCAGATGTATTATTCAAACAGTATTTGACCTCTTTGGAGCATTTGATGCTGCTTCAGAGATGACCCCTTTGCTGTACATTCTCCTGGTTCTCCACTTTCCTCTCTGGCTACTCCTTTGTAACCTCTACTTCCTTGCCAATCCTTTAGGGATTATCTGTAAGGCTCTGCCTTAGTTCCTCTTCTCCCTGGCTCATTTCAACCATTTCCTTGTGTTCACCCACCACCTATATATAATAATGACTCTCAAATCTGTATCTTCAGCCCAGTCCCTGCCTTCAGTCTCACACATGCTACTGTCTCATTCATAAATGCCTCAGTGCTCAATGTAGCTAAGACGAAACTCATCATCTCCACCCTTGCACCCCTCCCCACTACTACAAAAGCTGTTTTTACTTCTGGGTTCCATACTCAGAAGCCTGGTTTCACTTTCTTGTCCTCACAACTGAAAGCTCAATCACCATATCAAAGTTCTTCGTATTTACCTTAAATATCCATGTCTCCTTCCCTCAGCACTGCTGTGTCACTCTAGGCCACCACATCTCACCAGGATTACTACAAGCTGTTTTTTTTAAACCATCTTATTTATTTGACATTTTATTTATTTGACAGAGAGAGAGAAAGCACAAGCAGGGGGAGTAGTAGAGGGAGATCAAGAAGCAGACTCCCCCCTGAGTGCAGAGCCCACTGTGAGGGCTTGATCCTAGGACCCCAGGATCATGACCTGAGCTGAAGGCAGATGCTTAATTGACTGAGCTACCCAGGTGCCCCTACAAGTTTCTTACTTCTGTTTTTGCCCCCTCACCCACTTAGTGTTCCAACTAGATTGATTTTTCCGACTAAAGAGCAAGGAGACAAGTTATTTAAAACATTTACTATATACCCACTGTATATTAGACAATGGTTTGAGGACATGAAGAGGAGTAGAACACTATGGGTGGGGTTGTTTGTTTGTTTTGGCAAATATTGGCCAAATATCTACGTGGTATTTTACGAATTCTAATCACAAAATTTTTAAAAATAATGGTTTTATTGACATATGATTCACATACCATAACATTCATCCTAAAGATGTATAAAATGGTTTTTAGGGGTGCCTGGGTGGCTCAGTCATTAAGCATCTGCCTTATGTTCAGGTCATGATCCCAGGGTTCTGGGATTGAGCCCCACATCAAGCCCTGCATCAGGCTCCCTGCTCAGCAGGAACTTCTCCCTCTCCCACTCCCCCTGCTTGTACTCCCTCTCTCACTATCCCTCTCTCTGTCAAATAAATAAATAAAATCTTAAAAAAAATGGTTTTTATATTCACAAAGTTGTGCAACCATCACCACTAACTCCAGAATATTCTGTCTCTCCTCATGTCCCTGCCGCCTGGCAACCACTAATATATTTTCTGTTTCTAGAGATTTGCCTACTCTAGTATTTTAAATTAATGAAATCATATCATATGTGGCCTTTTTGTGGGGGAGGGTCTGGCTGCTTTCACTTAGTATTTTCTTTTAAAATTTTATTTTTATTTATTTGACAGAGGGAGAAATCTTAAGTAGGCAGAGAAGCAGTCAGAGAGAGAGAGGGAAGCAGGCTCCCCTGCTGAGCAGGGAGTCCTATGTGGGGCTTGATCCGAGGATCCTGAGATGATGACTTGAGCCTCAGGCAGAGGCTTAACCCACTGAGTCACCCAGGCACCCCTCACTTAGTATGTTTTCAAGGTTCATCCACATTGTAGCTTGTATCAGTATTTCGTTCCTTTATTTATTTATTTTTAAAGATTTTGTTTATTTTCATTCCTTTATTTTTTAAATTAAAATAACATAGACTTATTTTCTCATAGTTGGAAGTCCTGGGTCAGCATATTGATGAGACCAAATTTTCCTGAGGCCTTTCTCCTTGGCTTGCAGATGGGTATTTCATTCCCTTAATATTTAATATTCTGTCATATGGATATATCACATTTTGTTCATTTATCAGTTGGTGGGCTTAGGGTTGATTTCACATTTTGGCTATTATAAATAATGCTGTGAACATTCAAGTACAAGTGTATGTATGTATACACCTAGGAGTGGAACTGCTGGGTCATATGGTAAATTTAGCCTTTTGAAGAATTGCCAGACTGTTTTTCAAATTTTCAAATTCAAAAATTTATAATCCTACTAGCAGTGTGTGAGGGTTTTGGTCTTTCCACATTCTTACCAACACTAATGTCTTTTTGTTTGTTTGTTTGTTTGCCATTTTAGGGACTATGAAGCGGGATCTTATTATGGTTTTGTATACCTTCCTTGGAGAAATATCTATTCAAATCCGTTGCCTATTTAAAAAATTGAATTGTCTTTTCGTTGTTGAATTGTAAGAGTACCTTATATATTCTGGATGGTAATCCTTTAGTTACATGATTTGCAGAAATTTTCTTGCATTTTGTGGATTGTCGTTTCACTTTTTTTTTTTTAAGGTTTTATACATTTATTTGACAGAGAGAGAGAGAGCACAAGTAGGCAGAGAGGGGGGAAGCAGGCTCCCTGCTGAGCAGAGAGCCCGATGTGGGGCTTGATCCCAGGACCCTGGGATCATGACCTGAGCCCAAGGCAGAGGCTTTAACCCACTGAGCCACCCAGAGGCCCCTTATTTCACTTTCTTAATTGTGCCCTTTGACACACAAAAGTTTTTAGTTTTGATGAAGTACAATTTATCTATTTTTCTTTTTGTTGTTGCACTTTTGGTGCCATATCTAAGAAACTATTGCCTAATCCAAGATCATGAAGATACAGTCCTATTTTCTTCCAAGGGTCTTATAGTTTTAGCTCTTACATTTAGATTCTGGGATTTATTTTTTCATTTATGTGCAAGGTAGGTTCAACATCATTCTTTAGCTTGTGAATATTCACAGAACTTTTAAATTGTTTTGAATTGAATTGAATTGCAATTAGACTATAAACTCCATGAGGACCGAGACCAAAATGATCTATTTTTTTTCTGAATGAATGGATGAATTAGGTTGCCAGAGTATCAAGTTTCTTTTTTCTCTGAAATCATATCAATTCTGTGCAGTAACACTGTTTCCATTATGATGTTGGCAGTTCAGATATGTTGACAATAACAATTCAGAAATGAATACACAGGCTGATAGGAATTGTATTATTTAATAGGCTTTGTGGTAGTGAAACTGATTTGCAGTCAAATCCTGACTTTAAGAACTGTGTAACCTTGGGCAAAGTACATTACCTACTTCTTATTATATAAAATGGAGATTTAGAGGCACCTGGGTGGCTCAATTGGTTAAGTGTCTGCCTTGGGCTCAGTCATGATCCCAGGGTCCTGGGATCCAGCCCCACATTTGGCTCCCTGCTCAGCAGGGAGCTTGCGTCTCCCTCTCCTGCTTCCCCTACTTATGTTCTCTCTCCCTGTCACTCTGTCAAATAAATAAATAAAATCTTCAAAAATAAAGAAATAAAATGGGGATTTAGTTGGTGCAGCTGTCAAAAGGATTCTATCAGATCTTTTAACTACAGTGCTTTACACATTTTAAGCATTCATCAAATAGTGCATTTATTATTGAAAAGGACTAGCAGCAATGTTCTGAAATCCAGTAACAATACTTTTGTCCAAAATTTCTTCAGCATGCAGATTCCAGGATTCCTATTTTCTTTTGTGAACTGAGAACTGTTAGAGCATTGATTTTTGATTCGGAAAGACATACACAAAAATTCAATTCAATGTATAAATGACCCTAAAGATGTATGTAAATACTCTGGAGTTCAGAGTGTCCTGAGCAATAGAATAAACTACTTTTTTGGGTTAAGAACTTAGTAGACAAGGGGCTGAGCAGGGATTGTAGGCGTTTTGGATTCATCTCAGTATAGCACATATTTTCAGTTTTGCACATTGCTTGATTACGTGTCTGTCTCATCCACCAGAGTCCGCAGACACCCTGTCTTCAGTCATCTTTGCATTTCAGTACTGTGGACACTGCACGGATGGTTTAGTTGAGCCGCCTTGTCAAAGGGCGTCAGAAAAGATCCCTGGACAGACCTCGGACCCACTGCCAAGGACGGAAGAGCGGCTCAGGTATGGAACACACGTGGGTCATACCGCTCCAGTCGTAAGCAAGTTACTGAGAGAACCACAACCGACTGCCTCTTCCCGGCTTCTGGCCCTACAGGGACACTTCCGGGAGGGGGCGGGGAGACAAGAGGAGGCGTGCTGGGAAGGAGGGCGTTTGAGCTGCACCCGGCGGAAGTGTGCCAAAGATATTGGTGCTTCAGCTTCCGGTCCGGGTTAACGCGCCTTGGGTATACTGCGTGGTTTGTGTGGCGCGGGGACAGACTTCTGAGGGCAATTCAGTGGGTGAGGAGGCGAGTATTGGCGTCTGAACTCAGAAGTTTGGAGTCTAGTGGGAGGATAGGAAAAAAAGCAAGGAACCCGAATACAATCTAACCTCTGTTTCCGAGGGGGCAACTTGCACGGGAACTCCTCTGCCCTGGTAACGGCCAAAGAGGAGATGGCGCCAGTCAGGGAGCGGCCGTGGCCGACACAGTGAGGAAGCTTGAAGGCGGAGCAACCGGAGAAGCCTCGGGAGAACAGCCAAAGCCGTCGCTGCCGCTACCACTGCCACCACCATGGAAGGGGCAAAGCCGACTTTGCAGCTCGTATACCAGGCAGTGCAGGCGCTTTACCACGACCCAGATCCCAGCGGAAAGGAGCGCGCCTCGTTTTGGCTTGGGGAGCTGCAGCGTTCGGTGAGGGGCCCTGCGAGGCCGTTCTGCGCCGCGGGGCAAGGGCGGGGTGGGTCCTAGGCTCGAGCTCGAGCTTGAACCCGGCGGTTGGCCTCGTGAGATGCTCCTTAGGGAGGAGCTGCCGCCGCGGGGTGGGGCTGCGAGGCTACATTTACGCCGCTTTTCGGAAGCGAGTCTCAGCTGGACGGTCGCGAACTGGCCCTGTCCCCACCCCGTACAACCTGATTTGTAGGTCCCGTACTCGCTTGTGGCAACGATCTGGTTCTCTTTAAGTTTTACGCTTGCTGCTTGCTTCTTAGGCCCTGCTTTCCCGTGTAGCTTCCTTCAGTCAAATCCAGTCCCGATCTTTCTCCATCTTCCACTTAACGGATGCTTTATCCCTCTCCTCTTGGTGTCCCAGTGTTGGGGTCTGGCAATTCCATCCTAGTCCTAGCCTTGCACTTCATTGTGCCTTACTGATTTTTCACTAAGGAACAGTGATAGTTTGGGTCTGTTATTCTCGAAACTTCTCAGGTTTCTAGATTCTTTTACACGTGAATTTCCTCCGTGTTTGGAGTACAACGTGATGTAAAGAAAAAAATACCAGTTTCTGGTTTCAGAAAATCCTTGCAGTTCACATCTTGCAGCACGTTTGTTCTCTAACCTTGTTTTTTCCCCCTTTTTAGATTCTTTGTAAGATCCTGCATTGATTATTCCATATGTCTGTGTGAACATCCGGTGAGGGGTTTAGGGGTTTAATTTCACCCTGGTAAACCTATTGTATCTCTGCATTCTTTGATTCACGTGCCTTTCTTTTCTCTAATTTTTTAAAAAAGATTTTATTTATTTATTTGACGGGTCACAAGTAGGCAGGCAGAGAGAGAGGGGGAAGCAGGCTCCTAGCAGAATAGGGGGAGCCCGATGTGGGGATCGATCCCAGGACCCTGAAATCACGACCCCAGCCAAAGGCAGAGGCTTAACCCACTGAGCCACCCAGGTGCCCCATTTTCCTCTAAATTTCATACCTAGTTTTTCTGTGCTTTATATGTATACTTGGTGAAGTATACATATAAGTGTGTGTGTATACTTGGTGATCTTGCTGACTTTACCTTTCTTATTTTTGCATTTTATATTCCCAAGCTTTTTTTTTTTTTTTTAGATTTTTATTTATTTGACACATCACAAGTAGGCAGAGAGAGGGGAGGGGAAGCAGGCTCCCCACTGAGCAGAGTTGGCTGCCTTGAGAGGAGTAGCAGTGATTTTTCAAGGAGGGGGCTGGAGGAATAAATATATTGACCTTATTCCCCTACACTTCTGGGATTCTTCTTTGAGTAAACCCAACCAAAAGCTTGGGGACACCAGAACCTGTTGATATAGTCCACATAGGTCAACATACTGGGGCGAAAAGCAATAAGGAAGAGTGGAAAAGTGGATCTGGAAAACATCTAGTGCATTCCCACATCATTTTTAGGCAACTTCAGCAACCGGGTTCACAACTCAGCTGACATTTCAGCCCCTAATTCCTTTACTTCCTTTTCTCAGCCTGAGGGTTACAGTGTCACATCTTGGATCTTTTCATTAGTAAAAAGTCACCAACCCCTCAAGTCACTAACTCAGCCACATGGTCACACAGTGGTACCCTGAATCTTGTCATTTTTGGAAAGTCACCAGCCTGGGGGGTGCCTGGCTGGCTCAGTTGGTAGAGTATGCAGCCCTTGTTCTTGCAGTCATGAGCTCAAGACCCATGTTGGTGTAGAGCTTACTTAAAATAATGGAGGGGGCGGGTACCTGGCTGGCTAAGTTGGTTAAGCTCAGGTCTTTATCTCAGGGTCTTGAGTTTAAAACTCAAGTTGGGCTCCACATTGGGCTCCATGCTGGGTGTGGAACCTACTTAAAAAAAAAAAATCACCAGCCCCCTACATCACTAACTCAGGTATCTGCTCTGATCACAACCCACTCTTCCAGTTTGTTGGTTTAAGAATTCAAGTAACCTGTAGGCATTTTTTGAGATCTATAATTTTTGAAAATTTTTGAAATCTATAATTTTAATTTCTATCAAAATTAAAAAGTTATGGGGCACTTGGGTGGCCCAGTCAGTTAAGCTTCCCACTCTTGATTTTGGCTCAGGTCATGATCTCAGGGTTGTGAGATCCAGCCCCTGCGTGGGGCTCTGCACTGGGCAGGGAACCTGCTTAAGATTCTCTCTCCTCGCACCCTGACCCCTCACTCACATGCTCCCTCAATTAAAAACAAACAAACAGAAATCCCCCCCCAAAAGTAGTTATATTTTAAAACTTAAAATATTTTATTTTACTTTATTTTTAAAAAGATTTTATTTATTTATTTTACAGAGAGCAAGAGAGGGAACACAAACGGGTAGTGGGAGAGGGAGAAGCAGGTTTTCCCGAGGAACAGGTAGCCTGACATGGGGCTCAGTTCTAGGACCCTGGGATCACAACCCGAGCCAAAGGCAGATGCTGAACAGCTGAGCCACCCAGGCGCCCCTAAAACTTAAAATATTTTAAAATAAACTTTTAAAACTTTTAAAAGTTATAAAGTGGTAACTTTACAAGAAAAAGGCCTGTTGCATCTCTCTAACATAGGTCTATCAGTTTTGGTTAAATACACACAACATGCATTGTGAACCACATAGCATATATAACATGGTAATTTTTCTTTTTTTGTGCAAGTTTTCTTTTCCTGGTGGTAGTCATTACCTTTTTCTTTCACATATGCTTCATCTTCTATATATCTATAATAATTTGTTCAAAACTCTCTGAGTATGTAAATATTCTCTTACTGTGTTCACGTTGGTAATCTGCTTCCTTTTTTGGTAGAAGGAAACCTCTCCCTAGAGGTCTCTATCTTCCTGCTCCAGTCTGACCTTGTTATTCTCCAGGTCTGTTGCATAATTGTTGTCCTGGGATTTCTGTTTAACGCTCCTGGGGAATTATTTTCTCTTTCTTGTGTCAGATGCATTGAATCCTGGATCTCATGATCTTTTCTTGGATTGCTCCCTCATTTGATGGCTAGTTGAGAAGGGAACTTTTACTCCTTCTCCCTTGTATTTCTGTTGGTCTTTTTTTCTTGAATCACTTTTGTCCTGGAGCTATTCTCTGGATATAACTGGGGCTGCCAGTGGCAGGTGGGAGAATGAATCAGGGTATGGATCTTACCACTAAATATGTAGGCTTTAATTTAATCTATTTTCAATATGATATTCTTGTCCTTAGGTGAGTCTGTTGGCTAAGAGTCCAGAGTCCCTCTGCATCAATCTTTCCAAAGTAAATCTTGAATCTTCGGTGATGGTGGGAGGATGGTAGCCTGGCCACTCAGTCATGGAGGAAAATCTCAGTCTAACTGCTCATAGAGATTTTGAACCCACTCCTTTGTTTTTTGTTCCACCTATGCATCTGCCTTCAGATGTACCTGGTACTTTTAATTCCTGAGCATAACTGGAATTTGCTACATGAATCATTTTGCCCTCTTGGCTTCCCCTTTCTCATCCTGTCCTTCCTCTGAAAAATTTCAACTTTTTCAGACCTACTAAGATGGTTAACTCTTCCATTAGCATTCTGGTTTTCACAGTTTTGTTAATTTCAGTCATGTTTCCATTCTTTCTGTCCTTGTGGCACCGCCCCCCATTTTTTTTTTTTTTAGATTTTATTTATTCATTTGTCAGAGAGAGAGAGAGAGAGAGAGAGCGTGCGAGCACGTGAGCACAAGCAGGCAGAGTGGCAGGCCGAGGCAGAGAGAGAAGCAGGCTCCCCGTTGAGCAAGGAGCCTGATTCCGGATTCGATCCCAGGATCCCGGAATCATGACCTGAGCCCAAGGCAGCTGCTCAACCAACTGAGCCACCCAGGTGTCCCTTCTCCCCCGCATTTTTTAAAAATCTCTTTACTCTGATCTTAGTGGATTTTTTGGAAGAGATTTGTGGGCAAACAAAGGTGTTCAGTCAGTTCAATCATGTTAAACAAATCCCTGAATTAGTTCTTGAATTTCATGAAAACCTTATTCAGTTGACTGGCTCCTATTGTTTCTTCATTAGGTCTTGTCTTTACTTCTGTCTGATTTGGATTACAATGTCTGTCATTTAGTAATTTTCTTATATATACTATACCATCAGCCCTTCACCTCTGGTTTGGTAAAACTTCAGCATGTATAGCCAACTGCTTCTCCCTTCTCCTGTCAGGTCTAGGTGCCCTGCATCTCATTTTCTGAATTCTTAGGAACCTTGATCTCTTGGTTATTCTATCACTTGCATCTTCAGATTCCCTTTTGACTGGGTCCTTCCTATCAGGATTCACATAATTGTAGTATTTCCCACAGTAAGCAAATGGTTATAGTGGGGAGGAGAAGGGAGGTGGTAGAGAATGCTTCCTCCGTCCAATTTTGTTATTTCCTTAATTCTTTCGTACCTCTGTAGTTTTACTCTTTACCAATCTTGTCTTCTAATGAAGAAACTAATCCATCTTTTCAAAGCCCAGCCTGAATTCTTTCTTCTTGAAGCCTTAACTGATTCTCTTCAAATAAAGATAATTTCTGCCTCCACTGAACACCTAGAGCACTTTATATAATTGCATTTGTAATTTTTTTTTACCTTTTTGAAAATCTGTTTTGTTCCCCCTACTAGATTGTAGAATCGTTTTTATATATGATACAGTTGAGGGAATACTTTAATGGTTATTAAGAAAGCATGATCAAGATGCCTGACACAAAGTTTCTTAAAAATGTGTGTTGAGGGGCCCGTGGGTGTCTCAGTAGGTTAAGCCTCTGCCTTCTGCTCAGGTCATGATCTCAGGGTCCTGGGATGAGCCCCACATCGGGCTCTCTGCTCAGAGGGGAGCCTGCTTCCCCCTCTGTCTCTGCCTGCCTCTCTGCTACTTGGGATATCTGTCTCTCTGTCAAATAAATAAATAAAATCTTAAAAATAAAAAAAAGTGTGTTGTTGGGCACTTGGATGGTAGGTTAAACATTTTACTCTTGGTTTCTTCTCAGGTCATGATCTCAGGGCCCCACATGC